AGTGCCATTGAGGAGGCTGTGGCAGATGGTATAAGATACACTTGGAGTCCCAGGATCATGGAACAGTAAGGACAAAAGTAAGTGATCTGGTGGAAGTACGTGATGAGTGTGGTTAGAGATGTGTTCCTCACACTGGGGGTCATGAGGAGGGTGGGAGGTGCAGGGTGGTCAGTAGCAAGACAGGGATGGGTCCCAGCATCAATGTCCTGGCTAATGTCCAGTCCTTGATCAAGCACTGACTGAATTACTCACCAACCCACCCCAGATGACAAAGTTGCCCACAGGCTTACAGCTCTCATAAGCAGCACATTGTGACAGGCCCAACTATAGTTAGGTTAATCTCAGTGGCAATGGGCCAAGATCCATTGGTGCTGGTGTGGGCAGGTCAACCAAGGGACTTTCCAGTAGACTGAGTTCTAGAGGAGTTGGGAAAGTGACAGGGTCTGGACATTCCATCACCTCCCTTGGATATCACCACTGCTGGAGCTCAGGTTTTCTTACCAAGGTTCACCCAAATTCAATCTTTTAGAATTTAGTATTTTCAAGGTGCTTTGAATGTAATCTAGCTGAGGAGCACCATTTCTTGAACCTCTAGTGACAAACCTTGTTCTCGAACCTGATCAGTAATTCCTGCCCGTTCATAGTCAGTGCGTACTCCTGTGCATTCATTTCTGGCCTATTTCAGTGCCTCTACCTGTTTCTCCCACCACACACACCACCCTCTGCAACAAATAATTCACAACTGAGCTAGTGCTTGGGACAGGTAGAGTGATTAACAGATCATGTAACAAAATACTGCCAGGCTAGAGCAGAGGGATCTGCTTATTACCTACCTTCATCTGTATCTTCTTTCTAAAATGCACTTATAAGAGGAGGAGAGTTTATAATCAGTTTTTGAACAGCCAAGTTCTTAACAGACAGTGACATAATATGGTTTTCCTAAGTTGTACATGTACTGCAGGGATAACAATGAAGAGAGGCAGCATACACATGCAGCCAGTTTTTGCTTGTCTATCTCTTCTTCACCAATTGCCCCTATCTCCCTCCGCCTCCAGGAGATTCAATGCTAGCTTCTCACCGGAGACAATAGGACACGGTTTGGATTCAACTCCTGCCTCTAATGGGTTAGAGTGAGCTGTTTTGTCCAAAAATGAGAGAGTTAAATAATCAAATATAAAATGCAGAAAACTTTTTTTAGCTGGATGCTGCCTATGATGGAGCGCTGACAGGCAGATGAAATAGTTAGATTCTTTGTGAAGCGCTTGGTGAATTAATTTGATAGAACAGTAAGAAGAGAGGTTGGGGATGTACAGGTTACCAGGGAGATTATCTGTACTTCGCATTGAACCATCCCTATTTCCATGGCAGGTCTCCAAGGTGAACAGCCTTTAGCCTGTTAGAATAATGTAGGTAAGGAAGTCGGCAAGTCCGATCCGTATCTTTGGGATTAGGATTGGCTCTAAGGGCTGGGTCAGTCAGCCTTGAATGCAAAGTGGAGCTGGGTAAAAGAAAATTGCAGCAAATAATTAAGACATCAAATGGAATCTTGGTCCTTATCGCTAGCAGATTGGATTTTAAAATGAGGAAAGTCTCATTACAACTGTGAGGCTGCGTCTAGAGTAGAAACATAGAAACATACAAAATAGGTGCAGGAGTAGGCCATTCAGCCCTTCGAGCTTACACAAATATTCAATATGAGCATCGCTCATCATGCAATTTCAATATCCCACTCCCACTTTCTGTCCATACCCCTTGTAGTCTTTAGCTGCAAGGGCCACACCCAGCTCCCACTTGAATTTATTTAATGAACTGGTCCCAATAGGTTTGTGTGGGAGAGAATTCCACTGGTTCACAACTCTGAGTGAAGAAATTCTTCCTCATCTCAGTCTTGAAAAGCTTACCCCTTAGTCATAGACTGTGACTCCTAGATCTGAACTTCCCCAACATCAGGAACATTCTTCCCACATTTAGCCTGTCCAATCCCATCAGGAATTTATATGTTTCTATGTGATCTCCCCTCATTCTTTTAAATTCCAGTGAGTACAAGCCCCATCGATCCAGTCTTTTTCAATATGTCAGTCCTGCCATCCTGGTAATCAGTCTGGTAAACCTTTGCTGGACTCCCTTAATAGCAAGAATGACCTTTCTCAGATTAGGAGACCAAAACTGCACACCATACTTAAGGTGTGGCCTCACCAAGGCCCTGTAGAACTGCAGGAAGACATCCCTACTCCGATACTCAAATCCTCTCGCTATGAAGGCCAGCATGCCATTAGTTTTCGTCACTACCTGCTGTACCACCATGCCAACCTTTAGCAACTGTTTCACCATAACACCCAGCTCTTGTTGCACCTTGCCTTTTCCCAAACTGCCACCATTTGGATAATAATCTTCCTTCCTGTTTTTACCACCAAAGTGGATAACCTCACATTTATCCACATTATATTGCATTTGCCAAATATATGCCCATTCAGCCAGCCTGTGCAAGGCACCCTGCAGCCTCTTAACATTCTCCTCACAGCACACACTGTCACCCAGCTTATTATTGTCTGCAAATTTGAAGATACTGCATTCAATTCCTTCATCTAAATCATTAATGTATATTGCAAGCAGCTGGGATCCCAGCACTGAACCCTTTGGTACCCCACTTGTCACTGCCTGCCACTCTGAAAAGGGCCTGTTTATTCCAACTCTCTGCTTCCTGTCTGCCAACCAATTCTCTATCCACATTAATACTTTACCTCCCATACCATGAGCTTTAATTTTCCTTACTAACCCCTTGTGTGGAACCTTGTCAAAGCCTTTGAAAGTCAGGATACACAATATCTACTGATTCACCCTTGTCCACTCTACTGGTTGCATCCTCAAAAAATTCCTGAAGCTTTGTCAAGCATGATTTTCCTTTAGTGAATCCATGCTGACTTGGACCGATTCTGTCATCGCTTTCTAAATGCTCAGTTATTACATCCTTAATAATTGACTCCAGCATTTTCCTCCCACCAAAGTCAGGCTAACCGGCCTATAATTCACTGTTACCTCTCTCCCTCCTTTTTTTAAAAGTAGGGTTACATTAGCTACCCTTCAGTCTACTGGAACTCTTCTAGAGTCTATAGAATGTCAGAAAATGGTCACCAATGCGTCCATTATTTCTAGGGCAACTTTCTTAAGTATTGTGGGATGCAGAGGATCAGACCCTGGGACATACTGGGTTTTAATCCCATCAATTTCCTCAATGACATTTCCTGATTAATATGGATTTCCTTCAATTCCTCCTTCATGCTTGACCCTCTGTCCCTGAGCATTTCTGCAAGGTTATTTGTGATCTCCTGAGTGAAGACGGATTCAAAGTATTTGTTCAACTGGTCTGCCATCTTTCTGGTGTCCATTATGAATTCGCCTGATTCTAACTGTAAGGGACCTACATTTGTCCTTCATCAGTCTTTCTCTCTTTACATATCTATAGAAACTTCTGCAGTCAGTTTTTATGCTTTCTGAAAGCTTACTCTAATGTTCTATTTTCCCCTTCTGAATTAAACCCTTCATTCTCCTCTGCTGAATTTTAAATTTCTGCCAGTCCTCAGGTTTGTTGCCTTTTCTAGACAATTTATTTGCCTCCTCTTTGGCTTAATACTATCCCTAATTTCCATTGTTAGCCATGGCTGAGCCACCTTCCCTGTGTTACTCTTACGTCAGACAGAGATATACAATTGTTGAAGTTCATTCATGTGTTCTTTAAATGCCTGCCATTGCCTATCTACTGTCAACCCCTTAAGTAACCTTGGCCAGTTTATCCTAGCCAATAAATGCCTCATAACATCAAAGTCAGCTTTCTTTAAGTTCAGGACCCTAGTCTCAGATATAACTGTGTCAGTCTCCATCTTAATGAAGAATTCTACCATTATACGTCACGCTTTCCCAAAGGATCTCACACCACATGGCTGCTTATTAATCCTCTCTCATTACAAAATACCTAGTGTAGGATGACCTGCTCTCTAGTTGGGTTCCTCGAAATATTGGTAAAGAAAACCATCCTTCATACATTCTAGGAAACCCTCTTCCATTGCATGCGTACAGTTTTCGTCCCTGTATTTAAAAAAGAATGTAATGACACTGAATACAGTTTAAAAGACTATCACTAAGCTGATTCCTGGAATGAAGGTGTTGATTTAATCAAGTATGGCTAAACAGATTTGGCCTCTATTTATTAGAGTTTAGAAGAATGAGGGGTGATCTTATTGAAACATACAAGATTCGGAGGGCGCTTGACAGGACAGATATTTCCACTAGTGAGGGAATTTCAAACTAGGAAATGCAGTGACAGAATAAAAGGACATGCATTTAAAAGTGGAATGTGAAGGAATTTCTCTGGGGGAAGAAGATATCTAAAATATTCTACTCCGAACTGTAGAGGTTAGTTTACTGAAGTTATTTGAAGAGGAGGTAGAGAGATTTTGAAATATTGGGGAGTTAAGGGCTACAATTAGCTGTCACGAAAGAGGAGTTGAGGCCTGGGGCAAATTGGCCATGACCTTGTTGAATGTCAGGCCAGACCTGAGGGGCCAAATGGCCTACTCCTGCTCCTATTTCTTATGTTCTTATATTCATACTGCCATATAGGCATTAATAATAATCTCTTGATGCAATTGAACACAATGAGGAGGCACTGGATACAAATGCTAAATATAGTGCATTTTTGAAAAATCTAGCCAGTTCCTCGTACCTTCATGGAGCTGATAAGAACATTCAAAGTGGAATCTTCCCAATACCTGAATAACATGGGCCATGGTGAGAAAGTTAGAAAAATCAGGTGAGAAGTCCAGCAAACTTTCCCAATTTCTAATCAATTGTTGAATAGCAAGATGAGATTCTCGCCAATGATTAGAATTTATTATCAGCCTCATTATTACTTAATCATATCACATTAACATGCTGTTTCCCATTCTCCACCCACTGGATAGAAAGTAGGTGCCGAGAATTTCATTATGCAACTCAGTATGTACCTGGTGACTCCAGATCACCCCTTGTTTCTCCAGACTGCCATCCTCAATACCAGTCAGCAACTCCTCAGGGCATGCTCCATGGGCAGGAACTGCATTCATCCTCCTGCTCAGATATTGACATTTAACATGTATCAGCATTACCACACACTTATGGTACAATCTATTTACAGTGCTGTTCTGCACATCAGTTCTACAATTTAGAGTGCACTGGCATCTTTTCTGCCCGGACATTTTTATCACAGTGTGAACCCATTTCATGCTTTGTACCAGGTTGCATCTCAGGACTCCTTGCTTGCTAACTCACTTTGAACCTATTTTGATGCTCACATCATTTTTTTTTTTCGTGCCTTTCCCATGCTTTGTCCCCTCAGCCAGAGCTAACACGCTTACAATACTTCTGCTTTGGCTTGTCTTTTAAAGCAGACATGAAGACAGGCAGCTTGTCATGGTTGTTAACAGTCATCAGTTAAAGGGTTGAGACATATTACTTTTTGACATCAATCTCACACTAGACACATATTCCAAATGCACTGCATGTGCTTCAACTAAATGGCCATCTCTCCAAGTTGAAGGGGAATAATTCTCTGTCAGGTCCAGGGGAATATCCTTCAGTCAGGGTCAATCATTTGCTTGGGTCAGTCAGAGTCAGCATCCTCTTCTTGTAGGGAGTGACAGGTTGAATGTTGGGCACCTGATCAACTGTCTTGGTTCTTTCTGCCCTGTAATGAGCCATTTTCTCATGGGAAGGGGACAAAAGGAGGGATTGAGTGAGATGAAAGTGGCTGGCACAGCTGGTAGTGCTGGTACAGAAGGGGGCAAAGTGGTGAGATAACCCAAGTAAGTAAGTAGGAGACACAGAGACCATGCAGGTTTAGCAGACTGGGGGAAGGGGTAGGTGAAAGCGAGTGAGGGAAGACATTGCTTGTAAAAGTGAAAGTGACCCTTGATAGGAGGTTAGTGCAGTAGCAGAGATAGATTGAGTGTAAGGTAGGAGATGGTGGCACTTATCCTGGTGGAACGGAGAAGGTCATTGACCTTTCTCCTAAACCGCTGGACAATGTACCAGTGGTTAAGACTGTACTGACCAGAATGGCCAATTCAGAACAGGCTGGCATGATGTGTCAGTCCTGGGAGAGGATAGAATGGCCCTCCTCTGCACCATTCTGTCCACCAGTACCACCAGGTCCATGTCCACAAAGCCAGGCACCAATTTCCGCTTGTCTGCCCTTTCCGGGGCAAATATCACAAAGGGCAGCTCTGGCCTGAAAGCAATTGACCAAGTGTCTTTTAGATCTGGTGCAGGTGCCAGGATTCTGCCCTGTCCGGGGCAAATATCACAAAGGGCAGCTCTGGCCTGAAAGCAATTGACCGAGTGCCTTTTAGATCTGGTGCAGGTGCCAGGATTCCCAGGTGAGTAAACAAGTAGAACTGGATGAACACAGCAGGCCAAGCAGCATCAAAGGAGTAGGAAAGCTGACGTTTCGGGCCTAGACCCTTCTTCAGAAATGGGGGAGGGGAAGGGGATTCTGAAATAAATAGGGAGAGAGGGGGAGGCGGATAGAAGATGGATAAAGGAGAAGGTAGGTGGAGAGGAGACAGACAGGTCAAAGAGGCGGGGGTGGAGCCAGTAAAGGTGACTGTAGGTGGGGAGTTAGGGAGGGGATAGGTCAGTCCAGGGAGGACGGTCAGGTTAAGGGGGCGGGATGAGGCTAGTAGGTAGAAGATGGGGGTGGGGCTTGAAGTGGGAGGAGGGGACAGGTGGGATGAAGGACAGGTTAGGGAGGCGGGGACAAGCTGGGCTGGTTTTGGGATGTGGTAGGGGGAGAGGAGATTTTGAAGCTTGTGAAGTCCACATCGATACCATTGGGCTGCAGGGTTCCCAAGCGAAATATGAGGTGCTGTTCCTGCAACCTTTGGGTGGCATCATTGTGGCATTGCAGGAGACCCAGGATGGACATGTCGTCTAAGGAATGGGAGGGGGAGTTGAAATGGTTCGCGACTGGGAGGAGCAGTTGTTTACTGCAAACTGAACAAAGGTATTCCGCAAAGCGGTCCCCAAGCCTCCGCTTGGTTTCCCCAATGTAGAGGAGGCCACATCTGGAACAGCGGATACAGTATACCACATTAGCAGATGTGCAGGTGAACATCTGCTTGATGTGGTGAGTACTTCTGCCAAAGTCAACTGGGAGAATCGGGCTAGATCGGCAGGTAGGATGCAATTAGAGCATGGCACATAGCCAATGAGGCAAGTTTGGAATGAAAGTCCGAGAAAACCTGTTCAGCCTCACGGAGAGAAACCCTCCATGAAAATCAACAGAAATGACACTTAACTGAATGCGAGTAAGATTCAACCCTTAATGTTTTATGATGTTGTGCAGCTATGATCCTCCTAGTAAAATTGACACAAATTGCCCTTACAATTTTTTTCCACCTTTCTGGTGTTGGTTTCCTTAAGGCCTGACATGTATCAGTACCAAGATGAGTTTTCCTCCAATACCTTACTTACTACACAACAATACCAACATGAGCAGTAGCAGCCTGTCCTCAGTAGCAGAGCTGCCTAATCATTTCCGTACTAGCCTCTGGCTTCCTATGAAAAGTCTTCTGATCTTGTCAGTCCTTTAAGCTGAGGCAGCATGCTTTTGCACCCTCAAGGTAGGGTGAGCTCCCAATGGGAGAAATTCCTATTAATTGGAGATTGCTCATGATATTTTACCTGACTATACCCCGGAAAAGGATCCCAGTTAATCAAGCAGGCAAAGATTCTGCTCCACCACATGTCTAGAGCCAGTCAGATAGCTGAGGAAAATCCAGACATCAGCAATTATTTGGTGGCAGCTATACTGTGGGAGCGGGAACACAGGTATTTCACATGTTTTACATTTAAAAGTGCAACTGCCTTCAATTAAAAGCAATTTGTTTTGTGTGATTTACAAACCATGATTTGTGGTATTTTTGAAGGAGAGAGAAAAGATCTAACCCTGTTGAACTTCTTTGGAGAGATCAGACGCATTTATAAAGAGGACTATTTACTCATTTGGGATTTTTATGAATAAACATGAATGATATAAATGGATAAGGTCTGTAGAATCTCCATCTGTTTAAATCTTCAGCTCTTTAAACTTGTGTCAAGTAGACAATCTACAGTTGAAAGCAGTCAGTACTTGCAATTTCAATAGATACTTGTTGAAATAGGTTTGAGAGTTGTCATTATCGGTTTTGCTTAACACGACATCACAGTCAAAGAGCTGTAAATTCAGGGATTAGCTGCCTTTTATGAGGGAGTAAGCACTTGAATGGATTTAAATGCATTATATGGCTTTTTATTAATGAGGTTTTTTTTTCAAAAATATAGTAAAATCTTTAATAGCTACCTGGAACGTAATTTCATATCAGAATAGCTTCTGAGTTCTGCCAAGTGTGGGTGGTGGATAGATTAATTGGAATGTGGGAGGTTATAAGGGCAAAAGGTATTAGGTTGGGGTCATGTGTAAGGAGGAGTTGGTACTCAGTTGATCTCTCTGTTGTAAAGGAGCACGTTAATGATTGGGGGAAGTCATGGGTTAGCATGCAAGATGTGAGTGGGCATAGGGGTGGGAAACGGGGTATAGGTTGGCACAGAAGATCACTGGGGTGGGGAGGCTTAAGTAGAATATGCTGGCGTAGTTGGTGCATTGGGAAATGTGTGGAGGTTCAAGTATATGAGGGATTTTGTTAGAAGACAGTTGTTCATTTTCTGCTTTTAGTGCAACTGAGTGCAGTCTTTTTAACCAGCTCAGCTCAGTACTTGGAAGCCATTGAGGCTACCTCTGTATTGTTTCCAGTGGCAGTGGGCCCACCTCTGGCCTTTATGGCTCAGCTACTCATTGGCTTATTTACACAAGACAACAACAAGAAGTTACATTTTTATAGTGCCTTTAATGTCCTACTGTTCACAGAAGCAATTCAGAAACAAAATTTAATCCTGAGCATATAAGGGAAAATTATAACCGGTAGTCAAATGTTTGATCAAAGAGGAAGCTTTTAAAAACTAACTTAAGGAAGGATGGTGAGGTTATGAAGAGGAAATGTTTAACAATGGAATTTCAGTACTCAAAACCTAGCTAACAGCATGGTCACCAGTGGTGCAGTGATGAAAATCAAGCATGGGCAAGAATCCAGAGTTGGAAAATTATCAGAGATAACACAGTGTGGAGGTGGAGGAACACAGCAG